ACTGGTTTTTGAAATATTTTCAAAATGAAAATTTTGATAAGTTTGCATGGATTCAAGATCTATTTAACATCTGAATTTACTTCTGCAGAAGAAGAGAATCTAATCGAGTTATTTTGCGATAACAGTTTGTAAGAAATATTTGGCAGCATGGAATTGACAGAATTTGGGATTTCAATAAAAGATGAATATCCCCTTCTAAGTGATAAAGCTCGGCAGATTTTAATTCCATTTTCGACGTCGTATTTGTGTGAAGCTGGGTTTTCGGCGGTCGCTGTAATAAAAAGCAAGTATAGAGCAAAAATCAACGTGGAAAAGGAAATGAGGGTGGCCGTGTCCAGTTTAATTCCACGATTTGAGAAAATGTGCAGGGATTTGCAGGCTCATCCATCACATCAATTATTAAATATTAATTAAATGTTAATAAAGTAAAAAATAAAGATACACGAGTTTTATTTATTTTTATCTCTTACTTACGAATAGTCATACCATGGCTTGGGTGCCATGGATAAATTTTAATTGAAAAGGGGCGCCACGACTAGGAAAAGTTTGGTAACCACTGCTCTAGACTGAGAGGTTAGGACAAGGGGTTCTGTAACTTGACTTGCATGCTTACAGGCTCATATCTCATTATCTCGACTATACTTGCTTACGGACTTATTCAGTCTTAGTAAGGGCTTCTTCTTGAGTCATTAATCTTTGATGACCAGAGCCTGACATTAGCCTTTTGCAATCACTCTGATTTAGGACCAGTATTGAGTATATAATCTAAAATACACACAGACACACACTAAAGACCATCATGAAAGATAATTACCTGAACGATTAAATATCTAACTATGTATATACAGCTTCATTTTTAGCTATAAGTATGTATAAGAGGCATGATACAGCCGGCTAGTCTTCTTGAGCTAATGTTAACGTGAGACTTACAAGAATGAATTCCATATGATGGACATCATCAGCTTTTGCCCGAAACAAGGGAGGTCTCGTGAACTGTGTCACGCTAAGCGCCGTATTAATACCAAACGGCTGCAGTACAACGCGAATCAGCTGTAATCCTTTGGTGTGATCGACCTTCGAATCTCCTTATCAAATACTATCAGTCGAAATGGAAGTGGTAATTATGAACTGTTGTTTCAATAGGCGGCCGAATATTTTTCATCTGACTTCATTCATTACTGAAATGTTGATATCAGTAGGTTAGCATCTATAAAAACTCTGAATGTCAACTAGATACGCCGTGTCAAATGGGCGGATAGCCAGTCTATCGACTAGCGCACTGAGGACAAGCCTTGAAGTTTATCCGAGGCTCACTGCCTTACTTACCTTTGGCTGTATAATATGATGCAGGACGGATAGTCGAATTTTCCCACTGCCATATAAATAGGCCCAAGTCTCGACCTGGGTTCATACCCGCTGTGGGTGGTGATGAGACCCAGGTAAGCTCGAAACTGTTGGGAAGACCTTCATTTCGTATAAAAGTGTGTAAAGAAGAAGTGAAGAAAGAGTTCAACTCATATCATTGTGGGAAAATTCTACTACCAGTCCTTCATCATCTTAAACGAAATAGGGTGAATACATCTCATATTAATGATTTACTGGTAGTCTCGAAACTCTACTCTAATACGAAAATAACATTCATATTGTTCATTTCATTTTTACTTAAGTGTGTATATGTGTGTATGTTAGCATCTATACACAATACCAGTTCTACATCAGAGTGATTAAAAAGGCCTAAATTCAGTTACTCTTTGTATCTATACCATAGACCTGCAGACCAGTTCAGTCCGGACGCAATTACGTCTTGGGAGGCAAGACTAGGTGAAATTAAATGACGTCATATTATTGTGGGAATATCTAATCACAAGTTATTTATCTCCTTATACAGGCTGGATTAGCTTACTTAAGAATTTATGATGCTTCCAAAAATCTACTTTTCATAAATAAAATTGCATTCAGCCTGATGAGCACTTTTGACTTCGCCTAAGGGAGCCAACTTCCTAATTGCAGTAATGAATTATAAAACAAATGGGGAAAACGTTTAGGATGTACTTAGCCAATGGTCCAATGCTGGAAATCACGAATACTATTGCAGAGGACACGGGAATTGGTACGTTTCACAAAGTCTCCCTGACACTCCGACAAAGTTGCGAAAACCATATACAACCAACATTATATAGCTAAAGGAGACTGCGACCAAACAGAAAGCCACATCATTTTGGTCTTCATATCTACGATAAAAAACGAATGCCCGCCGTATTCGTCAGCGTGACTTGGGCATGTGGCCAAAGGCGTAAGCAGTTGTACCAGAGCCTGTGCATCCTAGGCTCGAGTCCCGCCATGAGCGCAGCTGAATCGAGGATGCGAGGTTTAATTTGTTGTCTAGACTCGAAAACCTACTAAAATGAATTTCGTCTATTGTGAGTCACAGTGTAGAATTCACTTTATTGCCGCAATAATTGCCATCATACTCTGTTTTAAGAGGATAAAAAAAGCCCATGTTCTCGTCATTCCGAATTCCAGTGGTAGTGACCAATTCAGTACTAAAAATTTGCTTCACCCTGTTGAAGGTAAACTTTTATTATAGGCTAAATTAAAAATTAGCTTTTTATCACTATTTAAACCTTAAATGATTCCAAATTTACGCATATCACTCCACGTCTTGCTTATTACTGCCTTCTTTCAACCTTCTTTCCACTTGATAGGTGACCCTTACGTCAAACTGTATTTGCTCTGCAGAGGGAAGCGTCTGGTAAAGAGGAAGAGTCATATCAAGAAACGGACGTTGAATCCGGTCTATAACGAAGCATTTACTTTTGACCTACCGGTGAACATCGACATTTCAGAAATAGGCGTAGAATTTAGCATTCTCGAATGGGATCGAATGACTAAAAATGAGACTCTTGGCCGCGTTGTACTGGGCACAAAAGAAATCGTCCTGCAAACAGGGGATGAGCGCCATTGGTTAGAAGTCATACGGAATCCGCGAAAACAGATTGCGGAGTGGCATCGTCTGGCGTGAATTTTGCCCCTTCCAGACAACAATCAGTCCTTCTGCTTCAGACAAAAATATTGCTCCATTTACTATTTGCAAGAATACACATTAATATTCCCCTGTTCTGCTGACTGTCGTCCGAAGACTACTTACTTGGCTATGTTCGAAAAGATGTTTCGCACCAAACGCCTCAGTTCAACTTCTGCACTTGCAAGCAGGTTGTCGTAGAAAAGAAATCAAGTGAACCGGAGACATGCCTAATTTCGGAGACATTAAATCTTGCCAATTGCCCTGGCATAGTTGTTTACCAGACAGGAGGATTCGGCCATTACATCACCTTTCGACTGTCGTATCTTCTCATTATTTTGTTCACAGCATCTCCCATCCCAAGTTTTCTCTGTGCTTGAGTATTTTATTTGCCCCTGCCATGGACCATATCCGTGTTCCCCCGCACCGCAGCCCATAAAAAAAGAAAAATTCATATGTCACATGAGCCTTGTTGTGCCTCCATCTGTGAGACATCCGGTCGGTTGATTCGGTTAATGAACCTTTTGGCGATCCTCACTCCCTCATCGTCGCAAGATATTCGCCCAGCTAGTGACCATAAGCAAGCATACAGAGGGACTTTCACATTCACAGGATATACATGGCTTGCATGGCTTCGTTGCAGGCCTTCTTAAATACATATTTTTTATAGTGGAACTGTGGCCAATAAGGCCAGGCTGCATTTGCCAGTACGACCGGCCACACTACTTACTACCAACTTTATCTCGGATAAGAACCTAGGTCATTTTTGGTGTTTGAGAACCGAAATTAAAAAATTGCAATGTGGCCGACCAATTTCACAGTAAGAAAAATTCCATTATTACAATATCCGAACTAAGGGGATACTTAATAAATAATTGCTACTACTATTCATGCATATCAGTAATGTTGTATATTTAAATGACAATACCATAAATTCAAGTTGAGTAGATTTCGATAGGAGCTCTACCTTCCCTCGATTGCATAAGGAATAATAGTCAAAATATCGCTATGTCATTTAATTAGAATTCACGATTCCAATAAATTTCACATAGCCTTGCAGCCCTAGAGGCATACTCGTACAGGGTGGACTGCAGTTTAGACCTCTCACAGCACCTCTAAATTGAATCAAATTCGAGTATGACAGTGTATAATTTCGGCAGATTGCCATTAAGCAACACTGCCACAGATGACAATGGGTCACAAACTAGACATGCATTTCAAGGCTAACTAGCTCTTTTCTTTATCACGTTTTTGTAATTGGATGAAGCCATTAAACAAACTTCTATTTGCCAATGCAATCATTGAATTATACTCAGAAAAATGTGTTTCGAAACTCCTAGTAAATCTTGGATAAGTAAGGTTCAAAAGCAAATAAAAGTTTACTTAATCAACAATCACAGTATTAAAAATGTGTTGCTGAAAAGGTCTGTTAAGCTTTGAAATTTACGGTGGGCCTCTGAATCAGTGACTCCATTGGCAGTGTGGCGTAGTGATAACATGTAGAAATTATACATTTCCGTTGGGGATGTGAAGGAGGCCAGAGAGAGGTAGGAAACTGCCGTCTAGTCCATCCAGGATAATACTACCTTTTTAAGATAAGGATGAGTGATATTCAATGGTGTCGTGATGCTTACTCACATAATTGTGTGAAAATTTAGTGATCACTCATTAATAATCTTAAAACCTAGAATTGATATAATTATATCCAAAAATACTATGATAATGTGAACTATGCTTATACAAACATAAAAATATCTTTCTTATTAAACGACCAGAAATATTTCCTCATGAACATGGCCCCAGTGTATAGGGGTGCAAGTCTAATGTTACCAATTTGTCATTTTGAATCAAAATAATCGGATTATTTTTACGTATATCGTATAGAGCGAATAATAGATAAGTCTTAGGGTAATCAGAATCGAATGCTGGAATAAAAATGTCAAAAATGACTTGTAAAACTAAAAAAACATTGTGGTTTCCGTTCTTTCCGTTTTGCATATGTATCGATTAACTCCCGAGGTTAAGACTACTGCATTGATCACGACTATGATCAAAGTGATGAAAGTTGATCCAAGTTTACGTGTCTCCACCAAAACTATTAAGAGGAGTTCGGG